TTACCTCCTTTCACTTAGAAGTGGCCTAGAATCATTAATTCAGGTAAGTTTGATGTTACAAATCCAACATATGCTTTCAGTAAAGGAACTATAACATTTCCTGATGCACAGAGTCCTTCATTAGGTAGTGTGAGAGCCTGAAATGTTAAAGGTTAATGGCTCAAACAATCGGCCATTTGCCAAAGCAGCGGGTGCTTTGCTCTAATCTGCCCCCAGGGATCTACTAACAAGAACTTCAGTGAAGGATCGTTACAGGTAGCATCAAAGAATATTTGAAAATCAGTACCCGGTATATTGTATAAATAACAGCCAAAAATCCTTCTCTTCCATTACAAAGTTATGAGGTTCAATATTATTGCAGAAAAAAAAAGAACTGAGTTGTAGCTAAATTTTAGCTGAAAACAACAGAAATAACTATGGGCTATTTCAGAAAAGGTTATCCAATATAACCATACATAAGACCATTAGGAATAACTACATATTTCTGTATCAATACAAGTTTGCAGCTCAAAGGATTGACATATAAAAGGCAATCTAAAGGCCAGTTCAAGGACACCACAGACAAAAGCTAGAACACTCTGATGGAAATAACACTGACTGTACTATTACTAGGATTTTTTCTCCATTGAAGCTGAAATGTTTGCATGGAAATAACAATCTAAATTCTTTTAAAGTTCATCATCTGTTTATTTCCTAGTAATTTGCTGAGATGATATAACTAGACCGTTAACTTTAGGAAGAAAATAAACTGCAAGACACAAACTCTGTTGTGGAGCAGGTACTAGCCTAGCCAGCAAGATCTATCCTTGGTGCAGTCTGAAGGAAACAGGCATTATGTACACTCTCTTTCTGTGAGGGTGACCAAGCTCTGGCACAGGCTGCCCATGGAGGTTGTGGAGATATTCAAAGGCCAACTGAAAATAGTCATGGGCAAACAGCTCTATGTGGCCCTGCCTACACAATGGGGTTGGATCAAATTACCTCTACAGATCCCTTCCAACCTCAATCCTTTTGTGATTCTGAGATGTTTTTAGAAGTTGTAGGAGCTACTCTGAATTTGGGTTCTACTGCTGAGGCTCTAAAAGGTATTTCCTATTCAGGTAAACAGCTATTTCACATCCATGAAAAGCGGGTGTAACATCCATCATTCAAGTCTCAGAAGTTACTTTTTTCTCTGTCATGTCTACGGTCAGTCAGGATATTAAAAAATTAGAAGATGGGCAACAGAGTGTTCTTCTTTCCTGCGTACAGGCAACTTTCTGCACAACATAAAGAGCAAAAGAGAAAGATAGATAGAGGTAAGGGCATTCATTTTTTTGTTCGATCTAATAGTGTAATCATACTTCTCTGAACCTTGTAGCATCACCCCAAAGGGAAAAATGACTAGGGTATCTCCTCTTTTTGACAAGACATCAGACTCTACCACCTCTTCAAGACATTAACTCTAAAATGAAATTATGGTATTTGTGCTTACCAACAAGCTGACTTGAAAAGCAGCCCTTCTTTCTACCACCCTCTCCCCATTTCAGGAGGATAAAATGCTGTAATTTCTGGAGTATATTAAGAAAAAAAGAAATTAAAACTGTTTTCACTACTAATTATGTTGTTGATAATGTGAAGGTGTTCAACTAATTCTTCTCCATTCAGAAATATGTTTGCATCACATGAGGATGTTGGAACACTTTCTTGTCCATTAGCAAACCAGAAGAAAGTTAAACAAATATTGACCAGGTATAAACATTTCCAAATCAGCAGATCTAGACAATTTACAGCAGGAACCATGAAATAATTTCTGAAGAATGCTCCTGTTAATAGGTTCAATAAATCTTAGCATTCCCAGAAAATTCCAGAAGACAACCTAAATAATATTATTTAAAATACTGAGTTACTTGTAGTTAGACTACTACAAGAGCATTGTCACACAAAAAATATTATAAAAGTTGCAACACAAGTAACTGGAAAATAATTAAAAGAAAATACTACAATCAGAAGTAATGGATGTGGTTTCCACAAAAATAAAACTTGTCAAACAAATATGATATTTATTCCTGAATATATTTTTTTCCATGAAGCTGAAATTATGCTGTGCAGAGAAAAAGCAGGAACATCAAAAACCTGCAAGATTACCTGGCCACTCTCAACAAATAAGCTTTGATAGAAAATCTTTATCAAAGAGCTGTTTTCAGTGATGTTATAAAGGACAACATTATTAAAAGCTTTCACTGGTAATTTGGAAGTAAATATAAAATCATGGCTGGTGAAGTTTGCAGATGACAATACCTGGTAAGATGATAAACAGTGATAAGAGCACCAATTCCACAGATGAATCTGCATTACTGTCGTGGAACAGTATCAGGCTGAGCTCATTTTAACAAAGACAAATGCCCCCACAGCAAGGAATGAAGATATAAGCCCAGGAATGGAAAGTATGCTAACATGAGCATTTAATGTACAAATTTCAGAAATTACTAGGAAAATGTTACCTATGTATTAAAACTACCAAATCCTTAACTATACTGAAATCCATATTTTATCCTATGTCCATAGTTTAAGAAGGCCCCCAGAAAACTCATGAAGGTATAAAAAAGAGCCACAGAACCTAAGTGATGTATTTGAGTGAGAGAGAGTTCATGAGCTCAGTTTGTTTGGTTTATCCAAAAGGAAACTGAGAAGTGATTTGATTACTTCATTTAAGTATCACCACAAGAAGAAACTGCAGAATATTAAGGACCTCTTTACCCTACCAGGGAGAGGCATAAAAAGAATCCACGGTTGAAACCCAGTGCCAGAAAAAATTCAAATGAGACACGAGGCACACACTCCCCATGAGAACAATGAACCACTGCAACAAACAGGCAACAGGGAAGCATTTCTCTTCTTCATGCCTTCAGACCAGGACTGGACATTTCACTGAACGGCATGGGTTAGCTGGACACAAGTTATGCTTTGGTCAAACAAGTTAATGGGTTTGTTACAGTTGTCAAATTGGTGAAATCTGATGGCTTGTAATATAGGACAGATGAGACTAGATGAACTGACACACCTCCAAAGGCTAAACTCTATTAATTGATTTATCAGTTTTTTATGCTGCCATCTATTGCTAGGGTATCTAAGCACTTTCATATTAAATCAATAGCAAAATACCTAATGGACTTCAAGTAGCTTCTGGAACTTCTGCTTTCAGGAGTAAAATTTATTAGGGGAGGATTTTTGAGGTCAGAAGGTCTGTATTTATCCTTCTTCTTGTAGACTGTGCATTGCTGTATTTCCTTTGTGCTTATATAGGATTTTGAAGCAGTGAGCTAGTGATTTCAGATAGACCCAGTACTGTTAAATGGTTCTATTTAAGAATCACAATTAGGTTTGTCTCCTCTAACTGCCAAGGTGCCAGGGGGTATCATGTCAGAACTGTCCTCAGTCTCCAGTGCTCTTTAGGGTAATGGACACTTCCTTTGCTGACACCAGGAAAAAATGTTTGTATCCTCGGAAAGTCATAATTTAGATGAAGAGCAGTGATAGGCTCAAGGCACCATATAATCCATTCCTTAAAAATTACGTATTTTCAGAGACATGATACTACTCTAAGAGAACAAGCACTTTTACAGCTAACAGTTATTATAAAGTTATGGTACAGGATGTGGTGTTCCTAAAATATGTGTATTTTTCAAAAAGGCATTAATTCAAACTTAGACTCTGAAAATTATAAAAATACAGAAGTATTTTTGCACAAAAATATGAAACTTCTTCCCAATGTATTCTTTGACAAACATACAGTAATAAAGTGACTTCTAATTAATTTAAAGACTGTTTGATGTCTAGAACATCAAAAATAGAGCATATTTGCTAGCTGTTTCATTTTTCTTACAATAACAAACTGTCGATGCCTTACTCTTCAAGAATATAAATCAATTTTCATAAATTACACCCTATCCTTCTAGTCAAAGAAAGATCAAAATAGGTAAACTGGATTACTGCAAAATTAAGATATTGATCTAGTTTTTAAGCAATATCTTACCATCACTAATTTTTGCTCAGTTTATTAATTGTTTTTATGGACCAGTGAAGGTACTTCTCAAAACTCTGTGTGTTTCAATTGTCTATTTGCAGCTGTTAATTTTTCAGCTAGAATCATTTTACATACTGTGCACACTCTATGGCATTTTGCAATTCTAAAACTTTGGGCCTTTTGAAGTCATAAATCAATTTTCTCTCTTTGTACCTGAACCGAAAGAAGAGTTCACTGAAGACTGCTTTTTCCTCAGAGGTTGTCCAGCACCTACAGGAACAGGGCAGAGACCAAGCCCCTTGCTGCACACCAGGTGCCCTGGCACTTTTGTTGGCTCACACTGTTCTCTGAAGTCCTGCTGAGCCTGTCTGCCTCAGGCACTCAGAATGGCTCAGATCACCTCCTTTTAATTGTAATGGCTTCAACAGCCAAGCTTTCTTCCTAAAAGCCTGCCTCTAGTAAAAAGCCCTTTATCTCTACAGAAAAATAAAGACTATTAAAATTTTGTAATAGTCTACACAAGGCTGAAAGGGAAACTAAGTTTATTCCCAAAGCTACAGTCAAGGAACACACAGCACTGCTTATGAACTGTGCTGGGTAAAGAACATGCTTAGGTGCCCAGACATGCTCCTTCAGTAGCACTGTGGAGAAAGCAGCACGCCTGCTCCAGGGTACCCTTTCAGCGGGGAATACAGTCACCTTATTACAGCCAACAGTTCGGGAAGCACGTACCTGGTGGCAGAAGCCTTACTGACTAATGGGCATAACAGCCACCGAGATTCAGAAAGATCATGAGGAGTGACACCAGCTCCTGGAACAGACGTGCAGCAAGGAGACTGGAGGGTAGTAGAGAAAGGAGGCAAACCAGGAATAACAAGTAGAAAAGATAAACACCCACAAGAGGCAGTAAACCTCTGACACATCAAGTTTAACCACAAGACTAGCAAAAAATATCAAATTGAAAAAGAAGTATATAACACACTTTGGGTAGCAAAATCGGGGTTTTTTATTTCTTGGGCTTAGATCTGCAATCCAAATTCACCTTGAATAACACTATCCATTGCATAAAAATGGAAAACCAAACAATAAAGTAAAACATAGCAGATATGTTAAAATGTAAAGAAAAAAATAGCAATAGCAGTGACTAGTCAAAACTGCAAGAAATACTTGACAGGAGTTTCATGATATCCAACAGGTAAGTAGAGTTTCCTAGACACCAGCTGCTCAGTGAGACATAGTAGGTCAGCATTACAAGGCTGAAACATCAGTTTTAATTAAATTTAATTTCCTAGTCTTGAACCAGGAGTTAAAACTGATTATATTGCTTTCGTTTTCTTGGAAGCCTAAAAAACCCATGCCCTAAATACTTATTAATTCAACCACAAAGATTTGCAGTTTAAGGTAACTTCTACATCTATTTTTGTATTTCAAAGCAGTTCTTATGAACATTACAGACTGATTTAATGTGAATTGCTCTAGTAAAATGTGTGCAGAAATGACTGGCAGAACATAAACATTCATAAGACATAGACATAAAAGAAAAAGTGGACCTATTGTACCCAGATTATAATTCTGAAAATGAGGGCATGATATTAAATGACCCAAAGGAAGAAAAGGAGAGAAAGTGACCTCCTAGAATATGAAGGTAGTAGAAAATGCTAATAAATTGCTCATCTCAGTTTAATAATTTAATACGAACTGCATAAAATAGAAAGGCCACTTAGGAAGGCACACAAAGCATTTTTAGCTATCAGTATTCAATGCTAGTAGTGAGAAAATTAAGGACAGCACAGTCTAGCAGCACTTCTCCAAGCAGTGATGAAGACACAGGTAAGATAAACATTTGGACTCCATAGCCTTAGAGAAGTCTGAAGAGCAGAAATGATACCTAGCAAACAAATTTCGTAGTCTCTTGCCTCTCCTTGTAAAATTCTCTTTGGTTTCAAGTGGACATTATTAAGGCGAACTCCCCAAATTTTGCTTTGCCCTAAAGATTCATTTACCTCTGCAAACATCTTCTGTTTTTCAAACCTGAGTAATAGTTTCGAGTAGACTGACTACTAGGACTACGAAGCAACTGTGAGGCAACCTGCCTTTCTATAGAAAATTATCCTGCATTATTTAAGATTTGGTAGTTAAATACAGAAAGTAAGTTGTGTTTCTCTGTACAGTTAAACTTGGATCAAAAAACTTTCTTCTTTTTTATAAGGGAATCTAAAGCACACGCACTCGTGGTTAATTTTTTAAGTTTTTACTTGCTGGGTTCATGTTTGAACAAATAACTTTGCTGTTATTTGTGCAAAACTCTGTAGGAATTTCAGTTATTTTTCTCAAATATACAAAAAATGCAGCTGAACAGAACCTAACTTAAAAAAAAAAAAAAGAAATAGAAAATATTCAAAGGTATTAGATATAGAACATAAAAATACTTAAGTTTCCTTTTGAACAATGCAAGTTATGACATCACTTCTGAGTGTTTCTGCATGGAAAAATGCTCAGACTGACAGCAACAGCCACACAAGACGGATCTGAGATCTGTTCCAAGATCCACAGTGATGAGAAGTATCTTCCCATTACTTCATACTTCTACTGTCTCTTACAGAAGAATCCACTTCCTCTAATAAACGTCTTACGTTCACATTGTAGTTCTCTGCAACTTATTTTAACACAAAATTACTGGAGCAGTTCCAAATATCATTCATTCACAAAGTAGCAGAGAAGCTATGAAAATTATCATAAACACCTTAGATACCACAGGAATGTTAAAATAATAACGATTCAAAATCGGTAATTTATTAGAAAAAATGGGACAAAGAGTCTACAAATTCATTTAAATTATACATGAGTATTCAACTTAATCAAGGAAAAAACAACTCATACTGTCAGTAAATTGATATTGTTAAACCTGTCTGATAGTTGAAAACCTTTAAATTTGAAACAGAAAACAGACAATGAAGAAAAACCTCAAGACTTCCAAGAAGTGGAAATATCTATATCTATATCTATGCATTTGGAGACACCTTCATAAACCAGGTAGAGGAGACTAGAAGTCTAGTGTTTTCCTACAGATAATCTCATTTAATCTGTCACAAATACCATCACAGCCATAAATGTGAGTAAATAAGTAGTGTTTCATTGCAATTTTCACTCAAAAAAAAGAGTCAAATAATGAAGCATATATGTCTGCAAAGACAAACAACAACAACTCAAAACAAAGACTTTTTTTTTTAAATACAAGCACACAGTTTATGTAAAAAAGAAAGCTGAACACAAATTGATATAAAAATCAGTATTTATGTAAAAAAATAATGCACTGTATACTGTAAAATCAGTCAGTCACAGTATTCACCTTCACACAGATTTCTACATTTTCAGTCTTCAAAAGGTTACACAGCAAGGAAAAGAGACCTACGTGCAAGGTAGACTGCTTCCTAGTTTTCATCCCAGAAATTTACACCCTGAGCCTGCAGGGAGATTAGAAACAGAATATAAACTCTGCTTACACTGGAGTGTGTTTTTGTACTGCTAAAGCATTTGCTCAACTCACATGAATCTGGAAATCAGAGGCAGCCTACCTCTGACATGGAAACAGCCACAAAAATGAAGCTTCTAAAATGGGGTTGGGATGAAGGTGCAAGTCAGTGAGTGGATCCTTCACGTTCAACACACAGGAACTTTTCTGGAATCCAAAACCTCACTTTATGAAGACTTCATCTCACTTAGGTTATCCAAGTTCAAATACACTTTACAAATACATTTTATACCATGTAAGTTTAAATATTTTACTGTAACTCTAGAATTCTGCCTTTTTCTTCATCTTTTTCTCTGGGAAAAAAGTTTGTATTGCATAAACAGTACTTCTTTTTTCACTAAGACAGTTGAAGAAAGCCTAATCCTTACCTGTTGCAGATCACTATCACCCTTTTGACAGTAATGCATTCATGTAGCTGAGAGTCTGCCCCAAAGCTATTTTAAAGCCATGTTATTTAAAAAATTACGGTAACAGGATATATTCTCTAAGAAACCTATCTACTACACAGTCTGATGAAGCATCAGAACTCTTACTACAGCTCTTCACTTTTAGGTCCTACATACTCTATAACAATCACCAGAGGTAATAATTCCTAGTATGGAAATACAACAGCAACAGATTTCCACTGTTGGGTTTTTCTCGGCTTCCCAAATGCCCTATTAAAGCTGCAAAACCATAAATTTTTTAAAAAGTATCATAAGACAAGCAACTTCAAACTGAATTTTTACTTAAAAGCCCCTCAACTCTGCTCTACCTTTTAGAGCTAATGGCTCTACAGTGTTCAAACAAATGCTTTTTAATATAAAGTCTCCGTATTCACCAATGGAGAAAACTAGTATCACATACTAGTTCTCAGCTTCTCAGAAAATCGTATTTATAGCGTGCAGTTTACATCTGAGATCAACAAGATTGTCAAAACAGTACTTCAACATGTAAGAGATGAACATATAAAGGCACATACAGATTGTCGATAATTACAACCCATTTTTTGAAAACAGAGTATTTTCTGCACTTGTAAACAACTTTGTTTACATAAAGGCTCACACCTTTAAAGTGAGGTTAGTGCTGCTGACTCAGTTATTGCTACATTCACAGTTTAACATAATTTTAGACAGTATATGAGGTACACTCCCAAACAGAGCACATCTTCATTTCTTCCTTGTTTGTTTGATCATTAGATAACTGAATTATGCAGACTAAAACTACTGACCATAGAAGCCAGTAACACCCAAATCATCAGATCCAAGATAAACATTAGCAGTAATTAAACTTCAAAAGAGCAAAAAGTCACCTTTGCAGAAAAAAGTTCCTGTTCTTCATTACATGAATATTTTCTTCATTTTTATGTATGCTAGTAAACTTTTGTCTGGGCACATTAAGAGCCCATTCAAGCTGTATTAAAATTCTTGCACCTTTTGACCAGTATATTACTTCAGTCTCTTGATGTAACAACTAGGAGTCAAAAGTCACCTTCCCTTTGATCTTCTGGCATACAAGTCTCTTATGCTTTTTGTTAGTTGCTTTATGAATACTTTGTAAACTCTTCCACAGTACGTATGCATGGTTTTCTGTAATTCCAGTTCTAGAGGCTGCAGCAGTGAATGAACCAGATCATCTCCAAATGAATACTATAAAGAGGTTAAGAAAAGAAAATTTAAGGTCAATACGGAAGATTGTCATCATTCAGAGGATTAGAGTTTTTATAAAAATGTTTCTGGGCATCTTATTTGCTTCCTATAGGTTTATTAAATGTTTTCAAGCATTCAGAGTGCTTCTAAAAATGCAATAATTGAAAAACACCTCCAAAGTCTAGAAATATTCTCTAATGCTTTCAATAAGCATAACATGGAAGACTTTACTTTTTTTAAATGTAAGCAAATGAACATATTCAGACAGGCAAGGAGGAAATTTAAAATTACCTTTTAAATTGAAAATTTACAGATCTGAAATTATTTCCAGTTATTTTTCTTGCTGTATGGTAACTTTCTCAAATGGCATATAACCTTTAAATAACATAATTTTTATCAAATTATAATGAAAGCTGTATGAAAAGTGGTACTAGTGAAGTTTCATTAAACTGAATGATGGTCAAACACACACTATATTTAACATAGGCATGAAATAAAGTAGTCATTAATTCAACAGTGCTATATTTTTATGAACAAATTATAAGTTTTTGCACTTTGAAGTAGTATAATTTTGTTCATCTTATTACCATTGAATCAGCAATGTTTTACATACTTTCTCTGACATGTTCATATACCAAATGGGATCATAAATAACAGGAAATAATTTTTTCTTCTGTTTTTGACAATACTCAAAGGAAACAAAGAAAACATATTTTTATGGAAACACAATCACTTTCCCTGCTACATATTCTCAAACCCCCAAAAGTACTTTTCTTCATTTTTATATCTATATGACAACATGCAATAAAGCAACATTAAAATATACTTTTGATTTTTGTAGGTTATACACACAGTAGCCTGCTACATTAAAACGTGCATCAGTGCTAAATTTTACAGTTCTTCAGTGAGTATACCAATGCAGCCATAAATAGTTTATTAGACGACTTATCTGCAGAATGAAAAGATATCACTGTGCTTAGTATTTAAAGGAACAACAACATATTAATACACTGAATCTCTAGAAAAGGTCAAAACACAGTATATAAAAAGTTTTTTACAATCCAAATCTAGATACAAGTATTAAAATGTTGCAATAAATACTTCCAAGCTTTGGGAATGCGAGGTTTTTCCTGCGTTTTAAAATATTCAGAAAAATAAAGCTTCTGGTGATGGCTTGTTGAGCCTGGAAAAAAGGAGGCTGAGGAGAGACCTCATTGCAGTCTACATCTTCCTCACAAGAGGAAGGGGGGGGCAGACACTGATCTGTTCTCTGCGGTGACCAGGGACAGGACCCGAGGAATGGCCTGAAGTTGTGTCAGGGAAGGTTTAGGTTGGATATTAGGAAAAGTTTCTTCACCCAAAGGGTGGTTGGGCACTGGAACAGGCTCCCCAGGGAAGTGGTCACAGCACCAAGCCTGTATGAGTCCAAGAAGCATTTGGACAGTGGTCTCAGGCACATGGAAGGACTCTTAGGAATGGTCCTATGCAGGGCCAGGAGTTGGGACTCCAATGATCCTCGTGGGTCCCTTCCAGTTCAGATATTCTATGATCTCCAAATGCTCATGTAAAAAGTTTATCAGATGATTAATTAAATGAATGAGAATACAGCCTTTTAAATAAGCATTGACAACTACGGGCAATTCTATAGAATCCTAACTTAGACATAGTCTACACTATGTTTCCAAATATGCTCATCACAATATTCCAGGAATATACGGGAACTCCATCCAAATAATAAAGAATAAACTGGTGAAACACTTAAGGTTGCTTAAAAGAAAAAAAAAATTACTTTGTTGCAATCAAGGTGAGTATCAAACAAAATACATGCAGCACTACAGATAAAAATACTTTAAAAAATAATAAGTACAATGATGAAAACACTTACATTTTTTATTGCTTCATAGACAGCCCTAAAAGTTGGTTGTTTATCATCGTGGTACACACCTCTGTTTCCATGAAGAATAAATATACCTTCTTCTTCAGCTGCCTTACAATTGCTTCCATAGATGCAGTGGTCAGGTCGATAATTCCATTGGCAAGGAAAGACAAAAAGACTTTCTGTGTGGAAAAATGAGTGTTCTGGATGAAGTGTCAAAATTGTTTCAGGAAATATACTAATCTCTATTTTTATTAAGGCTGCTTCACAGATTGCCATACAGTTGTTTTGAAATCTAACAGTTCATTGCACTCTAACAAGCTCCAGTGTCGTGTCTAAACGTAAACCCTTGAAGTAAATACTTTCAGAGAACAAAAGGAGCACATAGTCCCTTGAATGCTTTCACAGAAAAGTCTGCTAAAAGAGTATTTTCCTGGATTTTTGAACATCATGGAAAAGATCAGTTTTCTTGTGTTAGACTTAAAATCAATATGGATTTACCTGGATTGTGAAAAAACATAATGTTCAATAGATCCTGATCACCCCATGTTATATTCAACTTATATTTCTTCAGTAGTGGCATAAGAATTTCTCCCCACTGCAGCTGCACTGGTGTCATATCATTCTATGAAGCAAAAGGCAAAACAACACAAATTCAGGAAAATCATACCTATAAGGAAGCGCCTTACACAATCACAGTAATTTGTATTTCAAAGTTACAAATCTCAAACGTATAGATGATTTCTTCCTTTTAAACCAACAAGCCTATCTAAGGAAAATAGTTATGGACACTTCCAATATGCTTTATTTCTCAATTATTAATTTAGAAGGAAAATCTGATGCGTCTCCTACTTCTATTTAACTGCCACAGTAGATTTTTGTCTTCAAGATTTTCCTCAAACATCTTAAGCCAAGACTTCTAAGAAATGGCAAGGGTTTTTACCCAGTAGTAGGATCTAACACCAAAACTTCATTAAGTGATGCAGTAAGTCGACGAGGAGTATTTAAATATCCACACTTCATGCACTCACTCTCTTTATCACAGAGTGATAACATACACAGGTTCTAAGGTTAACTTCAAAAATTCAAACCAGTTCAATATAAAATTAATTCTTAAATAGTTCCAAACATACAGACAACAAATACGTGTATTTTGTACATGGTGTACAAAAATACAAAGATTCTTCAAAGGTTTTCAAAAGAATTTTCATCCAGTTCAACTAATTTTTTTTAGTTACTAAACTTGAACTTCCACAGCAAAGGCACAACTTTTCACTAGCAAAAGTCAGTAAGACACCAAACCAACAGCTGATACTAAATTCTGAACTTCTTGATTTAGCAGAATCGTTTCAAATGGAAAGAAGGAGGAGTTCCTCTAAGGTTCTGATTGTGGTGGTGCTACTTGGAGTAAACTGGTTTACAGTTTACTCTTTTGGCTATATTACCAAAGAAATTATAATCTGCAGTTACTGGTTACATATTCCAAAACTAATTTCTTTTCTTTACATCATGTTTAAGCTCAACTAGAACAGAGAGTGAGATGGGATAACAAAAAGTCTCAGAGAAAATTCTTAACAAGTACAGAATTGTACCCTTGCTTCTTTTTAACAGGTTGCCAAAAAAATATTAAATTAGAACTCTAGTATAGTTTGGGATTTGCATACAGGAATATCATATTAAGAGACAGATTACTAGGAGCAAAATACTCAGTTTTTGAATTACAGTATCAAAGACTTTCTTCTCTGAGTTTTACCCTGACAAACTACAAAGTGCACAAGTTAGCAGTTCAGTTTTTATCCTTTCCTCAAATCATTTCAGCCACTGAATATGAAGGGCTTTTAGAACTGAAGACTAAGACAAGAAATACTATCAGATTTCAGACATGAATTAATACAAAAAACAGATCTATAGTTTATATTATGTAAGAAGCCAAACAGAATAATATAGTTCCTTCTGTCCTAAAAAATTTATGACTATGATTGTCTGCAAGTATTTAATGAGAGCAGGCATAAGAAATGCACAAGAGAATTCTTCTCTAGTAAGAATTATCATTAGACTCAGTGCAATATGATTAAATGAAATAAAACACAGGCTTAACACCAAGCTAAAATCTTCCAAAAAGCAAATAAATTGGACTGAATCACAGTGGATAAAGATTATTCCCTCACTTGAACATTTCCATCCATAGATTATTGACCGAAATATAAGTTTAAGTTATTAAAGTCATTATTTAATATAATTTTCCTTTAACTTGTAGAGTTTTAATAGCAGTATAACCCAAGAAGATGCAAAGCAGGTAACAGCATATATCATGTCTAGAAACAACACTACTTGACAAATAATGCTGTTAGATTTAAGAACTGGAAACTGTAATATTTCAATAACATTTGAATAAAAAGAGTTAAACATTAATTTATTAACAGTGATGTATAATGACACCAGCATAGGAGTCACAGAGCAAGAGAAACTACTGGAATAGTTATACATTCTCCTTCTTTAAAATATTCCACTGTAACTTGTGGTGAGGTTAAACAGCTTGAGAAGTAAAATGTTGATAGAATTGCTTTTCAAAAGTTAGTCAAGAAAATCTCAGAAACAATTCTATGATAATTTTAGGATTTTCAGAATATAAGCCTTCTCTCCAATATTCAGCAACAAGTAAAGAATGTTAAAGAGATTTAAGAAAAAACCCACAACGTTAGTGGGTATTTCTGTGATGCCATCAAAGTGATACAGATAGGCTCTTATGAACTCTCAAAACTCTAGTTTTATTTGAGTAGAAGAAAATGTGTAAAAACAAAATATAAATAGGGACATCAAGATGTTTTCCTACATTTTTGGTGGGTTTTGTTTGTTTCTTTGTTTAGATGCTGTGCTTTAAGTAGTTCGGTCATTACCCATTTGTGTACCAGAAAACTTCTGCCTGGCTAAGGTTAAAGTCATATTTAAAAGAGATATCACATTTAGCCTTGTATGTATTACCTTTCTCTTAATTCTAGTAAGAAAATATTAAACTGAGGAAAAATTCTCAAATCATACAGCAATTATCTAGACCAGTTGCATCTGTGTCTCACAAACAGCTGACCAACTGAGAGCCAGCCCTCTTCCTTCTGATTACATGATTATCCTGCTTTTGCAGTAGCAGTGTAGTTAGTGCTAACACTTACTGAATGTTTTTGCAAGCTGATTTACTTCCATAACCCAGCAGAAGAATATCTTTTTTCTACTGTTACCAAATTAAATCATAGAAAGGACCAGCAAACACCAGAGGCCAAGACAAAGTAAATGAGAAAAGGGGGGAAAAGTTGGTAAGAGACAGGAACCTTGCTTTTAGAAGCAATTAGTTCTTTCTTGGAACTACAGCCCTAAGCAACACTGAATGGTAAAAAAAGAGTTTATAATGGTTTAAGTAACAGAAACGCTGATTATTTTTTTTTCTAAAGCATACCCATGAAGCTCTACTTTGTACACTCTATCTGGAGTTAATTTGTTGGGAGCTTGTTTGATTTTCTAAGAACTTGTTCCTTCCCATGACTGCCTGCATCTCAGGAATCACAACAACTAAGTTTCTTAATAAATGTGATAAAAGTCATTGCTCTCTATTCACATCGCCTCACTGGTCTAGGACTTTTTGTTAAAACACCATATATGTGGTATTTACCACATCTCTTCTAGTTTAAAAAAATACCTACGTCTATATGTATACAAATACAAAAGAAGTCACCTGCTACTACCTCTCCCCTACCCTAAATACTCTTGCATGTTTTACATTCCCATTTTATAACTGCTGCTTAGCAAAGTCAACATGCAGGCCCTAACCATCAGAAGCTCCATTATGGATTCAGTGTCATGCCCAATTATGCACTGTTTAATGATCACACTATACTCAGTAACACACATGTGCCTGAATATGAATCTGTGTAGATCACAGAATATGCTGAGTTGGAAGGGACCCATGAGGATCATCGAGTCCCACTCCTGGCCTTGCACAGGAACATCCCCAAGAGTCGCATCGTGTGCCCGAGAGTACTGTCCAAATAAATGCGCACACATACACACACGTGTGCATACAGTGCATATATTTGTTCTGTATATATATAGAGACTTAAAACAACAAGACAGATAACATAGTTAGGACCAGGAGTAACAACTTCCATTAGGCACCACAGATAGCCAAATAGCTAGGATACTTGTCTAAAATGACAGTCCTGAGAAGATTGAGGTTTTAATAAGCAAGTGGATAAAAGACGACTTAATCCTCAAGCAATACATGGAAGTACAGGTTTATTGCTACCCAGACAAACACTACAACCTTTAGCTAAAGTCTCTGATTCTACTTTTTATTTATCCATCTTCTGGCTTCTCCTGACTCTTATAAATCAATATGACAACAGAAGAAAGATGCTTAGAGGCCTCAAGCAGCTCAGTCTGTAATTTTGGGCTGCAAAAAACTACAATAGACAAAGAACCCACAGTTTTAAATCCATAGCATTAGAGGAATATCCTGATTCAAGACTTCCACTGTTTAGATAAATGCTTAAGCCACTACAATGTCATATAAAAAGATCTAGAGACAGTTTTTTAAAGACACAAAAATTCCCAGACCTTATATACTTCTTGAAGAATTAATTGAGCGTCCTGAATGAATATAAACAGATTCAGACCATCCTATAAAACAGCGAAGCGTTTTCTAGTCCCACTGTGTTTCACTGAAATAGTTAATGGGACACAACATGGAACAGTTACCTGTAAGGTCCAAAAACATCTGCAGTGCTGTTGGCAAGGGATAGCCCCTACCCCCCGAATTTAGGACAGACCCTACACCTATCCTCTCTCTTCCATAGGGTTAAGATTAGTAGCTTCTTTGCTTTCAGTCACAAGAGAAGTCATACACTCTCAGGCCTATAGTGTGTATACTCAACTACACTAAATCTTTTTCCAAGTTTTGCTGTGAGGCTGACATTTTTCCTATCAACCAATCCTCCTTTTATTAAGACATTCAAGGAACCCAAAGAAGAAAACAGTCTCTGCAAGTCTCCATGAACAGAAGAGTATCTGTAATAAAGCTCGTGCACCTTTGAGGCCCTGTTACACTCCGCAAGCTTGTGGGAGCACGTTCTAGGTACTAAGGGAGAATAAACCAAACGGCTCCCCTGCTGAGTGCTCTCTAAAGCTCTCAATTATCAATGTTGTATAACAACATCATTTCCTCCTTAGTCATTACCCAGGCTGCACTATCTCACTAAGAGGAGGAGAATGATCAAGTACTATCACTCCTAAATTTCAGGTAACCTAGAAGATCTCTGATTAGACATCCCCAAACTGTTCTGGCTGGACTGAGAACGCTACCACAAGCCTGATGCTACAGGACACTTTTCCAGTGTGTCCAATAAGTAGAAGGACTAAGACAGCAGCACGGTTTAGAAATCATGAGGTAATCTCCTGTCGGAGACAATTCTGAGCCTATTTTAGTTTTTACAATCAAGTAAGAGTGAAAGAATATTTCTTTAGGTGCACCACTAGTCCTAAATGTTTGAAGAACAGCCACTGCACACAAAAGCACTCCTGGCCAAATATGAGGTTCAGAAGACATGTGAAAGCAAGGGACAAAAGCACATATGCATCACACATGGAAGTAGAAGTCTAAGTTTCAAGTGACAGTAATGATCTAGGAAGGATGCCAAAGAATTATGACTAACTATTCTGGGCAGAAAAATGATGTATTTCTAACAATTAAAACAACTGAGCATGGGAATGAGTTAATTGTCTTTTTTGTTACTTTTGTTAACTAAATTCATCAAAAAGGGCTTTGAATCATGGGCTTTGCTATTAGGAAGCTTTGCTTTGTTCCTGCTTCCCTTTCTCAAGTACCGTTTCATAGTTCTGAATATTTAGTGTAGTAGCACTGAGTAGCTAATTCCAGTCTTAGTTCCTTTCCCTTAATTGTATGATTGCTTAGCCTGCAACTCATCAAGCAGACTTGTGTAGTACAATACATACTGAACAATCTGAGCATTAAGATGAATGTTTCCAGAACAATTTGAGAACTGTTTTTGTTCTGATTCCCCATAACAGTTATGACACACTATCTTCCTCACTACAGAAAGAAGTTCAGTGGCCCACTTAGCCAGAAACTGTACGTCATGTTAGGTATACTGAAGTTTGCCAGCAAGATCACGAGAAAAGCATATGGATGTATGCCTTGCCTTACAGTGAGGTCTTATAAATCAGATACTCACCCTCATAATAAAGAGCAATTATAAAAAATTCACTTCCTCCAAGGCTGGTTTTCATTGAACAGTCTGACATGTTTCACTGCATAATAAATATACATGGCAAAACCAGGATATTCCTGGTTATTTTATCCATAGCAGATATTTTTAGGACTTGGAAAATATTCCAGCCTTCTAGAGCCAAGGGAAAGTGGTAATGTTCCATTTTGAATTTCAAAATACTCATTAATTATTTCACCTGTGTTAATCTGTATATATAAACCTAAATTTGAAGAACACGCCAGTTTTAGGTGTTAAGGAGAAAGGACTTCATATTATCCTCTAGAAAACAGTTAATTTCATTGACAATTTTATTAGCCTACATAATATGCATTCTTTTCAAAAGTTTAACCCCAATTTTAGCACAAGCACATCAAGTTTCCAATTAATTGATAAGCTAAGCTGTACTGAGAAGCCCAATCAGAATTCTAGCACATAATAGAATAAAAGACCAACCTTATTTTTACTGGGGTAAACACCAGGATAACTCACAACACAGAACTGCATTGTCAGAGGTTAAGATACATGCAGTTTTCAGTCCTATGATTTTCTCATTATATTTTTCAGTATTTTCATTTCTCTTTATGCTATAATCAGTAAAACAAACAAATAAAGTAGACAACGCAAGATTTCACTGATGACATATACAGAGTAGTTTTTGTCTTGGAGAAACTACAGCTCTATACTATAGCTACTGTAACTTTCTACTTTATCTGCAACTGAGATAATTCCCCATTTTTCTTGAATTCTCTGAATTTCCCTAACAACAATACATAGCAAGATTTTGAAGATGAAAGTTGTTTATTAAATTGAAAATGGGGGAGAAGTAATGTCTGCTGGAAGTTTATACTGCCCCTCTTACAGATGCACTTCCAAAATTTTTTGATTGCATGATTATTTTTCCCTAATCAAACTTCTCTTAAACAGAGATACACTGTTCCCCTAAGCATAATCACATAGCACTGTTTTTGTCCTTGTGTTTCAAGTACGTAAGAAAAAAACTTCCCTACTTTCATGACAAACTTAAATTGTCTACAAAAACTATGACTTCATGATAAATAAACAGATAGTTAGGGTGACAATCAGCTGGTTACATTGTAAAAGATCAAAATTTGGAAACCTTCGTTTTGAAACACCTTACTAAATGTTTTAGCACCACCTCCTGGTCACACAACTACACATGGTACAAGTTGACATTAACTTTTTTCTGGGATCGCTACAGTGAATTAAAAATGCTGGCATATCTATTGGTAAATGTAATTTACAGTAAATTGTACCAAGTCAAGGATCTCTCAGAACTAAGAAAAACTAAAACAATCAAGCACACTTAATATTAGAGAACTCCAAGTCTTACAGTGAATGACATTTAAAAAATAGTTGGATACTACTTTAAACACAATATAGTTTGAGAAGATTATTACAATTACAGGAAAAAAGATTTTGAAAAATACACATGAATTTGAAACAGGATTAGAATTAAAATACTTAAGTCCACAGAAAATGCAATAAAGGCAACACGCATACCTTGAAATATTTTCTTCTGATACGTGTCATATTCATTAACATGACTCCAGAATTAATTCCAGTTACTCCGTAATAGGGATGTCTAGCAAAGCGATTATACCACCCAATACGAGGCTCTTCATGTTCTGGTGCCATTGCAGCAATTTGTGTGGAGTTGAACTTTCCCAAAAAAGACCAAATATCATCAACAGGTCTCAAAAACAGGATGTCAGTATCAACATACAGTAGTGAATCCACATTTTTGAGGATTAACTGTGAGAGAAAGAAATTTAAAACCAAACTTTTAAGTTTTATCAAACTTCTCTTCACAAAACATAAATTGCTGCCATTACACAATACAGTTTAACACATTTTTGTCATATGCAAATAAATTCATTTTAGGCTGACAGTTTGCAGTCAATAAATTCGTCTTCACTCCTCTCATTTTAAATAATTTTTGTGAAGGGATACAGAGGTTTTATATAGAATAGTAACACAAAGGCACTCAGTCTACACTTTATATGTCAGGGATCCTCAGGAGTAGGTTTGTGGGCCAGGTGAAACATTACTCTAACAGGAGCTCCTATCTTACTCTGTTCCCTTGCTTTCCCATGCAGATAATCAAACAAGGAAGAGATGTAAAAGCCCCAGAAGAGACACTGTTTGGAAGATAGCTGCCACTGCTCTAATTCATCAAACCTGATGGATGATTTCTGAAGTGTCTTAGACGAGTAAAGGAAAAAAGGTTGCACAAAACACTGGCAACAATAGCTCATTTCTTGTTTCATTTTCTCTAACACTTCTCAGACTCATGCACGCAGAAAACTTTTCAAATAAATGAGCAGATGAGGCATGATACATCCTTCTTACCTCTGAGAGGATGACATGACCTACACCTCTCTCTGAGGATACTGTGCCATAATGCAGCAAGTGAGAAAAGGACTTTTATTCCATAGGATATTAGTGCCAGAGAAAGTGGTTAAATTCACAGGATTTTTTAGGATGTCATAAAAATAACTTTCAGGAGGAGTAGTAGTCCTTCATTTTAAACCAAGTAGATATCAGATTAACAAGGGCAGCTTGATCCTTCATAAACAGACTTCTGGATTGTCCTATTACAGAGTAACTTACTGGCAAAAATAGCCTTTGTGAAGCACATGGTTTAAACAATTTCTTCCATTCTGCTGCACTCTCAGTTGGAAATGTTATTGGATATAATGTGTAATTAACTTTTCCTTCATAGGGGAATTCGTCAAGCTATGTGAAAAGAAGAAATCACAGAAATTACTTCAGTTCAATTCTATTACAAAAAATAAATCAATCCCCCATTCAAACTGATAATTGAACACAACTACAACATCTCTTTTCCATAACAGATATGCTTTTTGAACTACAACAATCTGTCAGTTAATCAAAATAATCGAAGAAAAAGGGGCACCTGCAGGCCACTATGAAGAAAATCATCATATTCGATCATATGCACAAGGAAGAGGAAGTAAAATAAATTAGTATTTACAAAAAGTAAGTACATTAAATAAAACTCTTCCCCTCAACTAGTTTCCACAGGAGAAATAACAAGGAAGTCTTTCTAAATTTAAAATAACTTACTCCATTTTTGCCAGTTACTGTTCGCATAACATTAGCATATACACATAAGCATGTATAACATACTAATGTCACAGTTAATATGACATTTTAAGCACAAAAATAATAAACCCCTCCACAGTTATATCCTAGTCAGCTTCTAAAACTGTTATTACAGTCATAATGCTACATTCATTAACTGCAATTTACTAAAATCAGACATAACCGTATCTACCATTTTCAAAAACTGGTCTTTCAGTTTGTCTCAACAATTCAAGGTTGATTCATACTGTAATCAGAGGGACAAAAAAAGACAGATTTTCAATTTTTTTTTTTTAAAGCCAACTTTAATATAAGCTCACACAAGATAACTGGTTAGCATTCAGAACATAGGTTTGTATTTAACAGATTTATGGTGACAAATCAAGAAGATTTGGTCTGTCTCTAGGAGGAACTTTGATATCAGCAACTGGTACTCTTCCACAGGAAAAAAAAAATTCAAAAATCCCCATCCAACATTACAAATGCCTTATTATCTTATTTCTAGACCCCTGCATTTCTGCCACTGTATCAAACAACTACCACCCAAGTAGAGAAATTGCAATATATTACTCAAATTGTGCTACAAAATGATTGAATTCATTCTTTGAATACTTACTATGTTTTTGAAACTCTCATGTAATTGGTCCTCAGCAAAAATATGAAAGTGGAGAGGTCTGATGCTGAAAATAATGGCTGATCTCAACATAGTAACAGTCTCCTCCAGTCTTTCACCACAGGCCACCACTGCTAGATGCATTTTCTCAGAAGGATGTGTTTTCATATAATCATACCTGATATAAAAATATTTTTTCATTTGACATTATTTCTAGCACAGGCTTAAAGAAAAACACTACCATTTACTGCAGGAAGTAACTTAACAAAATACCCTTTATCATACTTAAACCAGCAATATATTACTCAAACAGAATGTGCATTTATACCTCATATATATTACGTTTACCTCAACCATTCTCATATTCACTCCTACTACCCCAGCCTAAAAGGGAAAAAACAGGCATAGAAGAGCTATATAGAAACTACACAAACATTTACTTTCTTAGTAACCTTACTATCTATTAATAGCAGGGAATTTCACAAAAATACCTATTTAAAAGGAAAGACTACATGAAGTTACATTGAAATGTGGAAGGATGATAGCACATTAAGTCTATACATGAGTTAATTTTTTTCCCCTTTCCCTGAGCTAAGTATAGACATAGGTAAAAATTACAAATACAGCAGAGTTAAACTCAACAACAGAAGTGAGATAACCCCTACTTTCAAGATGTTCTGTTAAGAACATTTCTGACTGATCTAGGCATTTTGTCCATTTTCTGCTCCAGTAAGTCCTTTTTGGCAAACCCTTGCTTCAGCACTTCACCTAAGCGCTGATAAAACACAAAAAGTTTTCTCCTATACTTCCATCTTGCAGGAGTACAATATGGGTTGGAAGAGGCAGGAAACTAATAGCTCAGATGGCTTTGTATTGTGGAATGCTTAGTGGTTCTGGAAAATCCCTCAGGTATACTGACCACGTACACTGTCCATGTGCCCTGAGGCTAAATCACTGCAAGGTGTGGGGACTGGGAAATCCTTTACTCCTGAAGATACCTGTGCAACAGTTAGAGTGTGAAGTGCTTGGAATGTCTTTTATAGTGTACATTTTAAAGTTATTTCATTACTTTAATAAAATAGGCTAAAATGATCATCAGGTAAAATCATTAACTTGGTGGCAAACAGTGGGCATACTAAACCTAAAACTATATTCTCCTGGATTTGATATATTTTATTAGTCAGAAAAACTTTCAAAGGTTTTAAACACACTTCAACTCAAAGCCCATCTTCAAAACAATATGCAGTTGAGCTATTTGCACAGACTATGGGAAGAGGGGGGCTAACAGAACTAAGAGTATCTGAAGGTTTAAATTACAAGTTAATGCCAAATTATGGAGACAAAACTAATACTCAAGTTAGAAAATACTTTCCTAAACTAGTAACAATAGAGAAATGCTTGACAAACCACGCATTCTTAGAAACTTGTCAAAGAGACACTTCAAAACAGAAATTAACAGATGTGACTCTTAGCAAAATCTCCACCCAATTTATGTAACTATGTATATACATACAAGTTTTCCTTTAAATTGACAATAGATAGTATGTAAATATGCCTTTCTTTCTTTAAGGCACAGAAGAGCAGCATACGTTATTTTCAGTTACATGAGGCAAAACATAGGCAAAGTTATCACTCTAAAAGTGCTGAATTTTAGTGCCATAAATAATTGCTACATTTAAAAAACATTCTGAGTTTTGAAAGAATTTAATGCTATGGAACCAAAAAACATACAGTATCCCAGGGATTTAAGATTAACGAAATTTTAATTAAAACATGCAGCCACTCTTAACTCAAGGCTTGGGGTATTATTAAAAATCCCATGGACAATAGACCTCATAGGTCAGATTCAGATCCAAAACAGAGCACATAAATGAAGATGCTAACATGAGACTGTGTCCAAAGTCTCATCAAAGCCAACAGAGATCTAGTGAGCAGGTTATAGAGTACAGACAGTCATTCATCTTATTTCAAAGTAAACACCTAAGGCTTGAATCAATTTTTAACATAGGTACAGTGCCATTTAATAAGCTCTAGAATATCCCACCTGATCTCCAAGTGTCAGTCCAAAAGGACGGGGTGTTTCGAAGATGATGTTGTATCTACTAGTCCTAATGAGATTTCTAGGATATGCAAGTGCTTCTTAATTAACACCAACTATTTACTTCTCAGCCACCAAACGGCTAGTCACCTTGATCATCCTCTGTGCTCTTTCAATTTCCATGACTGTTTAAGACCTACTTGACATAGGCACCAATATGTAGACCTCTATATTCAGATGGTTTAATCTGCAGACCGAAAGCTTTTCTAAGTCTTGCAGCAAAATCTGAAAAATTAGTTTAGATTAACACACACAAAAGAAATCTTGAAATGTAACCAAGGCATGCCCATTCAGACTTTTATACATAAAGTTAATTTAAACATTACACCATGTAGCAACTAATAATGTAAAAGACACAATGCAAGCTGAATATGATGAGGGCAATTGAAACCCACAAGTAAGTACAATGCTACAGTGTGAACAAGCTGCAAGCAGCAGATTAGCCTCATCACTAATCCACTGAAAGGGGAATTACAATAATTAAGCCCTGAAGTCATGAGAGCCTAAAGTGATATTACAAGGTCATGTTATACATAAGGGCAAAATGAACACAAACTGTGTAGCTGCAAGCCAAGCTCCTGAACCACGTGTAACAACACATGGCTTTCCATGAATAAGGTATCACAAAGATTATGCCAAAGCATTTCTAAAACCTACTGAGATTCCAAGACTGTATTTTATTATTTCTACATCTAGTGGCACCTGTGAATAAAAGAACATTTCAAGCCACACAACAAAAAAATGACTGATCGCATTAAAATGCTTTTACAGTTGCTTTATTCACACAATCTCTGCTATATGAATTTCTGACTCAATTTTTTAAATGTGTGCTTAAAAATAATTTTTAAAGGCAAAAAAAAAAATTTAGAAAGAACTAACAACAACTGAATTTCAGCATGTACAACACGGGGAACAGCCGGACTCAGATCTGTAAGTTCACAACAAAGTTTTATTCCTCAAGCAGATGGAGCAAGAAACTGTTGGAAAGAACAGGCCACCATTCCCTCTGGGGACTGTCCAGACTACAAAGGGGATGAGACATATTAGATCTCAAAAACATATTAAGGCAGAAGTTATGAGACTCCAGAGTTGTGGTTCTTACTGTAGACTCCTTTAGTGAGAAGAGACAAATGATTATAAGTTGCATTTGACTTCCCTGAATACAGACCACTGAGAACCACAGCCGCCTTTTCAGTAACCAGGCCTCAGTGCTGCTCCTCTCCCTGCAAATACACCTCCCTCCACTCCCAGAGAGAAAGCCTATCCTTCATCCAGAGACACTTACTAACTCAGCTAACCCTCAGCTGGGAGCATCTTTCATCACTTTTTCTTCTTCCTGACACTAGAGGCAGCATAAAATGTAAATTGTCCTGCAGAGCTTATCAACTTGAGCTCTGCAGTCTCACCTTTAATATGAGCATGTCCCACCCACAGAGACAATTATCTATTCCGTGACTTGTCTCACTCTCTTCTTCAATATTATGTCCACATGGTTTTGGTCTTTCCCCTAATTCCTTTCAAAATTATCTGCCTTCAACTGTTCCCTTCTCTACTTCTCCTTTCTGAATTTTCCAGCCTTCGTAACCCTTCTCCCCATCTTTCTCCGTGCAGCTACCTCACCAGTAGCCAGGAAAAGGAGAAACATGTTCATTTAGACATCCTGGTATCTGGTACGACAAAGTGACATAAGATCTTTTGGCAATAAAATTTTCTTAGCAGTTCAGTAGCTGAGTTGACAATAAACAAAATAAAATTTATTTTACAAGAACAGTAACCCGTCTGAACCTGAGCCAGTTTGGTATCAGAGTATCACAGCTCTGATATGAACCCTTATTGAATCTCAAATACAGGTCCTGAAAGGATTAAGGCACTTTCAAAATTGACATACTTTCAAAAAAGTTGTTGAAAGGCAATGCGGAAAACACAAAAAATACAAATGTAGATTTTTTATATGCACATTTCTAATTACTAATAGCCTGTTCTTTTGGTGTGGGAGAACTTAGTGGAGAAGCCAGAAAAAGCAACAATAGAGTGAAATACAAAGTGTATTTTAGTAAGTATTTTGGTAGACTAACAGAGAAAACTTGACAGCCCTAAATTCTAGAGAAAAAAAAAAGATCTCCAATAGTGTGGGAGTCCTAGCTCCTGTAGGGAAAGAGAAACTTCTGGTAATTTAAGTGAAAAAGAAAGAATGGAGCTGTAACTCAATAGAAGACACTGACCTGAATGCCATGACAGGATTTCAGTCTTTAAAGACAAATAAGAGAACTTCATTTGTTTGGGGGTGCTAATTACACGTGAGGGGTAGGGATATTAAAAATAAATGAAATAAAGCACTTGAGACAGAGGTCCACACATACTCCCATGAGTTTAGAAAACATTTAAAACAATCTGCTTGGACACTGTGAGAACAAAACCATATACTTTAAAACATGCTGCTCATCAGCAGCATAAGGCGAGGTACAAGCCTTGCCCTGAAGTATTTCTCTGTCAAGTGAAGACCTTCATTCTATAGTGATTAATTCTGCTTTGGAGTTAATAACCTCTGAGAGGAACAGAGTTGGATATGCTCAATAAATCTGCTACAACAAGGTTTTCCACAGCCTGTCTGTGAAGACACTGCCTCCTATTTAAAGGTGTTTACCATGATGCATTGTATATTAAATTAGTTTTTCTAGGTCAATTACAATTATGAAGCTATAAGTTGGTAGTAAGCTACAGAGGTATGTTTTGACAGGGGTTACTCTTCTAGAACCTTCACTGCATCCCAGCTGGACTTCTTGGAAAAAAATAAACAACCCAAATTTTATTGTCACTAAAATACCCACCAGCCCCACAAAAATCTTAGTTCTGTCTTCCAAACTTGACACAAGGTACCAGAGTGGGGATCACTTGCATTTGTTTAAGGTAGGGTTCTCCTATTCTCACATAGCACATAAAGAACACAGGTGAGAGGGTACCAAACCCTCAGGAACACCTTGTATACAACTGAATCTGATTTGTGATCATTAAGCCTATCCCAATCCCACTCTGCTTTAGTGAGGTCACACTACAACAGCTCCTTCTGCTGCACACATACATTGTTGCCTTCCAGGCTCTATACCTCCCAGAGGAGCCAGGGCGTTACAGCATGACCTGGGTACCTTCAAAGAAGTGTCAGTGCAAACAGACCAATTTTTCCCCCTTTTCTTAAGCTACATTCAAGTATAGACACACTGTTATTAAGGAAAGGCACAAAGTAGCCACAGTCCACCTCACTTCTGTTACAAACTTGATGCATTAGGCTTCCTGTTTTCCTCATGTGCTGATGTACTAGCAAGAACATGCCTAAGGAGTCAACATGAAACTCCCTGCACAAATACACTGGTAATCAAGCTGTCCTCTCCTATTGCCTTAACATGTCTGTGTGAGCCAAGGAAGGAAAGATGAGTATCCAGAGCAGAGTTGTATGAAGAACTGAAGCAATAAATTGACCTCAGTTGTCCTTTTAAATTTTACTCTGGTCCATTCATTGAGGAGTTACCGTTTTGAATCTAATTGCATGAGTTTTGAACTATGTAAAAATATTTATCACTTTCTGAGAAAATTGCCATCATCCTAACTTGCACCTCTAGTTTTTTATGTACCACCACTCTGTTACATAACAGCAATACAAAAAAGTAAGAATTATTTTGTAGGTTATACAAAATATTTTAAAATTACATCAAAGCAAGTTTTTCTACACTTGTTCTGAAAAAGCTATAGCAGCCTTGCTTTTCTTTGATCTTTTCTCTGTATAGTCTATAACGTGAGGTATCCAGTATTCAGCTTCTTAAACAAGGTCGCTTAATAAAGTCTCTCAGTCTTTCCCTAACACCATTAAACTATGTTTCTTTGATATTGTAACCAAATGAACTAGGTTGTCAGGCTCAGCTGCGTTAAAGTTGTTTATGCTTACTAAAAGAACAAACAGAAGCCTCCTGCAGATGTGTTTTCTTCTTCAGTATAAAGAGCCAACTACATTATCAGTGCAAATATTTTACCCATAGAGGTGTTTTCCACAATTAGCATGGAAGTAAGAAAGTAGCAAAGCCTACACTGATTAAAATGTAGCTGTTAAATCATTCCCACACTTATTAGAAGTAGGATGAAGGTAACTATAGACATTATTTGGAGTTTAAAGTGACGACAATTCTAGTTTTTACTCAACTTTCTACTATTGCTCTGAATTAAAAACATGTCATAATCAGAGCTTATTTTGTAAAAGTATGCTAACGATACCACTGCATATGACATCCAAATGCAATCTCTTCAATTATCAACTCAGTAGATTATGTATGAAGTTACAATATATTAATAAATAATAATGGCCAGTCTTCGCAAGCGAAGATCCGGGGAAGGTCTTTACACCTTCCAGCCTGCGCATTGGATTTTTTAGGTGAGACACAGTGTGTGCGGAACTGAGCCCACCCTTTAATCCTAAGGTTCATCTGCCGGGGCCAAGCGAGCTTGGACGGTGGCAGCGAGGTCCTTAGGATGTAGATGGGTTGCCTTTAAGGGCCAACGAGCTCCACCTGCCCGGGAGTGGCCCTGACCCGGAATTGAACCTGGGCCTCGGCAGTGACAGTGCCGCAACCTTAACCATTAGACCACCAGGGGCTCCATATTAATAATTTCAAATTGACTATTAAAATATGAAGTCTTATCCTCTGAAGAGCTAGCTAGTTTAGAAGTCCCTTTTTTCAGGACTATCACAATTCATCTCACTATATCCACACCATGAGAACCTCAATACACTCAAAAATTAATGAAACTTTCTTTTTTAGCAAGCAATGCAATTTAAAACCTACTTAGTCAACATGTAACAACTGAAATCAGGCTGGTCAGATAGCCATAATAATAATCCTAATAATTTCTTCTTAATCAGTCCCAGTAGGAAATAGGCAGCCATTCCAGCTAGATGACACTGAGCACCTTGAAAGATGTCCTAGAAAAGATATGCATCATCTAGACCATGCAAAACTTGAGCCTGTTACCTTTATCAGCATTTTTAAAATTTAGATAAAATTTATACCATTGTATGGAAAAGCATCTCATGCTTCCTCTGTCAGTGTGAAAGCTAACACATAGTCTCTGCCAGAAGCACAACATAAGACATTCTCTCTCAATAAAGTTGATAATCAGGATGCTTGCAAAAAATGTGTGGGCAGAATAGCTACAAAATTCTTCCCACATACAGAATAAGCAATTGATCTTATACTGATTAACTCAGCTCACTGGAATTTCAAGTTAGAAACAGAGATAACGAGCTAAGTTTTTTTGACAAAAATGCTTAAAAATCAAAAAGCTGAAGGACTACCTCCCAACATTTTAAGAGCTTCATTGGAAATGGAAAGTAGACATTCTAGCACTGAGATAAATTTTATGACTGTACTATTGGCAAAGATACTCTAGCTGTATGATCTACTTTTCTAAACAAATTCATTTGGTTAATTTATTGAAACAGCAAGAATAGAACATCAGAAACTCCATTCACAAACTGATTTATGATCTGGTTAAACAGTGCTGTTCTCTTCTTATGGATTAAATCAGGCCAAATAGATTAAAGATATGTGCTAGTGCATTTCAGTGACCAGGCTCTGCCATTTCTAGTGCAAGCAAATTCATTGGGATTCTCATTATTTTGTTGGCGTGTTTATAAGCAGTGGAGTTAGCTATCCTAGATTTCAATCAGATATGTAACTCCCAGGTTTTTCTCCTATCCCTCTATCATAGACTCTTCATAGTCCAGCTTTACTCTTTACCTCACTACAACAATTACACCTATGATGAACACAAAGGTTTAGTCAACCCAAGATGAGATTATTCGGAATAAAGACATTATTATGGTAGGACAATCATTCCTTTCCATTTCAACAGATACCCCATTCAGAACCCCAATGTTGACTCTTTACAGAGAAAGCTTTCAAGAGGCTTTATCTTCATGAAGAATCTTCAAGTGCCCCTACACATACAATCTCAGAAAAATGAATGCCTCACTTGCTGTGGTTAATAAACTTGTGTGCAAGTAAGTTCATCCCTTTTCCTCCAGAAATCCTACTGCAAACTTGAGAACTACTAAGTATCACATTTGAAGTACCCCTCAGCTTCTCAGTGCACCTAGTACATTGAACATTCTTTGTTTGAGAGTTAAACAGAACTTTCTCCTTCTCTCTGCCATCTTCCCCACTTCTTCTCTTACACAAACTCACTGCACCTCTCCAACATCAACTGAACTCATTAATCAAAGTAAAAATAAAAAGTAAAAATAAGTTGGGGGGAAGTAAAAATAAGTAAAAATAAGTTGGGGGGAAGCATGTTGGCCCACTCTGAAGTTAGAGCATCTCACTGAGAAATTCAACAAGTACCAGAGTCAGCACAATATAAGCGGATTAATCTAATAGTAATATATTGATAAAATAATCCAACTCAATCTGAAATTATTAATCTGAACACCACACCCCCTTTACTCATTTAAATAGTTTTTTTCCTTTCAATTTCAAAATGAAACATTGAACACAAAATTCTGCAAATATTAGGGGTTCACCATAGCAATTGTTTCATCATGGAAGTGGACTCATCCAGTAATGTCATAATCAATGCATACTTCGACTTGTCTTCCCAGCCACATATGGCATTCTTAAAAGGATAATACAAGCTACAGTTTAAGGTACGTGTAAAAAAACTGCATGGGGTTTTCCACTTCTGGTTCCAAGGTCCCACTTGCCTCAAGCCTGACAGAAAATCCAGAAAGGAAGTTTTCCGCTATTTTAGTGCATTATGTTGAATGTATTGCGGAGAGTTCATGGACATTATCATGGTCAATAGGGTCAGAAGACAGCAGTGCCCTCTCCTCTTTCAGCAGTACACAAGAGTTAGACTAGCTCAGATGCCCAAGAATTAAATGAAGCTTACAATCACATCCTATCCCTCCATTAAGCATAAGCTAAGCCCCTACACTCTCAACCACGACAGCACTGACATTTGATTTACCCCACTATAATAAACTTCATAAAGCTAAACTCCCAAAAGCTAACTTTTAAGAAAAAAAAAAGTTAATTCAGTCCATTCAGACAGCTAAATCTGCCTAATAAAGTCAGGTGAATCACTATGGATTGGCACACTGGCTACCAATGGCAGCTAGGTAAACTCAGCAGTCCCAAATTACAGGTACAGTTCATTAACAGACTAAAAATCAATATAAGCCATCTCTTTAAGGAACTTCTTGGCAACTGACAATCTTAAAAAGCACTGACAACACACAAGCAGAGAAGAATACAGGAATAGGGGAACTAAAGTCTTTCCCACAATCAAAATTTTCAAAAACACATTAAGTCTTGTGAAGCTAAACTTTCTTCCCCTTTGCTTCCCCAGAAATAGTCAAGGTTCATACTAAGAAGAAAAGGTAAATCTGCTGATCTGAAAGGATGATCAGCAAAATTTTAAATATACGAAAAATTGACTTAAATTTTAGTTATACAATGAAGAGAACTATGCAGGTTAGGGAATCAGGAAGCTTATTTCTTTTCAAGCTACTTTTGTAATCTGTCAGCCTAAAGCATATGAACCACCACATCAAGACATTTAAACTTATTTTCAAAGATGCAACTTCAAGGACACAGTCTATGCTTTAACATACTGTATCTTAAAGAACATTCTAAAATATTGTTTCAGTGCTTTTGAATGACGTACTCTCCTCAAATTCTATAAAACATGTAACTTGAATTAAAAATAATCCAAACTTAACTAGTAAGCATATCTGCCAGTTTTTATTGCAAGTTACATCATGGGTATTACTGTGCAAGTTTTATTTTTGGGAAAATAGTTTATCATTAACTTTTCAGACTATATTTGGGCAGGCTTTTAACAGATGTTAGCAATTTTCTATTCAGTGAAGCAACACAATTGAAAAACTCTACTCTTTGTAGTAACAGTTGAGTCTACAATTTTAAAAACATAATGTAAGAGGAAACCCCAGCTAAAGGAAACCACAATATAAGCAGGTGAAATGCATGTGAAGCAATCAAAATATTTTGCTTTGTCACCTTGCTAAATAGTAGCTACACCTCTCTGCAATCAAATAATAAAGTACTATTTAATAACAGATCCTACCTAAAAGCAGCTTCCCAAAAGCAGTTCATTCCACAAACATCAGAGGGCAGCATCCAATAGGAATTCCAGAAAGATACAGACAAATTCTTACACCTAACAGAATAAGACAAAAATAACCTATATAAATGTTACTGATTTTATGGCAAAGTTAAATGGATTATTTTCTATCTAATGCACAACTTGAATAGTTAATTACTTGGCAGAAAACTGTCTATGCAATGCAACTTGAATACAAAGGAGGAAGTACTAGAGGCCAATCAGGAGGATTTTTTAAGGAAGAATGGTCCATTCCTTTAGCCTTTCCTCTTCACATATTTTCACAGAGGGGCTGTGATTTTTGAGGGTCCTTCTCGGTTCTCAAATTAAGTCCCACAGGTAACAGAGCAAATTGCAACACTTTCTGCTAGAAAAAAATCCTTCACCTTTTCAATACCTTTGTCTACTCAAAGCAGAGGAGCAACTTAAACTTTTCATTTTCAAAGTTACAAGTCCATTTAACACAATTCCTATCCATCCATTACTCTATTCAGTGCAAACCTGCAAATCTGATTTTTAATAAAAAATAGGGCTTTGCAGCACCAAGGAATTCCACTGTTTCATAACAAAAGGTCAATGCAATACAGAAATAATCACCACATTTGGCAAGTTTTTTTCCTCCATACTAATAGCAAGATTAATAATTTATTGACTTGTGCTACACTGACAACTAAAAAAGCAGGGTTTACTAGTTTACCACTACATTTATGCAACAGCAATATAGGAAATATTTAAAAATAGAAATAGCAGCATATTGTCAAAGGTTCTGGTGAGAAAATCAACATCAAGACTGAATATCTGCAATGAGCAAGCAGAATATTGTAAAGCAAGGGATAGGATGTGTGACCTTCTCTGTTCTCTGCTCTGGTGACACAAAGTGCTTATTCTCCTTTGTGCAAGAAGAAAACCAATACAAAAGCTGCTGATGAAAAGATATTTAAGGACTATAGCTCAGACCTCTTCTAGAAGTCAGCTTTGCAGGTTTGAAATGAACCAGCACCATCTTGGTAGTGTCATCTGGAATCTGTAAAGGCCAATGTTTTGCAAATAATAGATCACAGGTAGCATCAGCAAATGGCAAGCTGTGTAATTTCTTCTTTTTATAACACTTGAGAA